TTCAGAAAGTCTGGATATCAGCTCATATCATCCACACAAGAAGGTACTTATTGTATTTGTCATGTTTCACTAATCAAATGAAGACTAATAGAAGTGCCTACATGTATGGAGATTGTATGTTTTTTAACTAAGTAGATAAATTTTCTAAATTTAAAAATAGTTGAAATATATCTATGGACTTCTGAACTGATAAGCGGCATATCCCTAAATGTGTTCTATGAACAGCCACATAACTTCTGATTTATATGTCACATTTTTGCTTTTGCTTAAAGCACAGCTGCTACAAAGAAAATACAGCTGACCTTCTATAAATGACATACACAACTGAATGGCATAGGAGTGTCCAAGGGAAAGAAAAAAAATAAAAGTTATCATGTATATTTGTGCATGCACAAACCCATGTATCTCACACATGCCCCATCTATCTTTCATGTTGAAGAGGATAGCTTCAAGCAGTTAGTTATCAACAATGCCTTGGGAGATTTTGTTGCATGGTTAACAGAATTGCACAAAGCTTTAATTTTTCAGAAAAAGGGATAACAGAAAATCATTAGCAGCTGAAGTGACAGCAGCCTTTGGGGAATGATCCATCTCATTGCTCTTGAAAAGAGAAATCAGAGTGCTAGAAACTCAAACACCAGTTCATTTTCACTACCTGGAATTTGTCTTTATCTGCCAGAGAAAGACAATTTTCTGTAAAAATTCACTTCTTTGCTATTTGTGTACAAATCAGCCACCAAGTACTGCATTACTGACACATCTATTTTGGAGAGTGCATTTGATAACACTCCATTTTAAGTTATGGTTAATTGTGTTTTACTGAGCTGTAGCAGAAAACCGCTCTGAATATCACATTAGGTGATGTTTCTTGATAAGAATCACTTAATACACACCAAATATGTATTCTAATGTTCAAATTTAGAACTGTACTTTTGGCAATCCAAACATTTGTAGAATATGCTTTATAATTATATGTATAGCAGATTTGTTACAATATTTCATGCTTTTGTACCAGCATGAAACGCAGTGACAGCACAAATGTTAATAATCATGAACGACTGGAAAAAATCTAAAAATTGCTTATTATCTTAACATATGTATGGAACTATGAGTTACAATATCTGTTATGGGTATTATTGGTTTAATAAACCATTCTGAAAGTGGATTCTGGCTGCCAGAATCACGGATGTGTAATGTGTACATTAAATTCCTTTTACCCTGAAATAAGACACTGTAAAAAATTGCTCAAAAAAAAGTGCTCTGTCAGTAGATGAAGAATTACCAAACAAAGGAAAAAAAGAGAAGGAAAAATTATAAATCTGAGCATGAAAACATCTATATTTAAAAAATGACAACAACAAACAACCCAATTTTTTAATGAACTAAATAAAGACCCTACTGGAAATACACAAAAAGATGAACTAGAAAAAGGACTGTTAAAGTGGTTATGCAAGAACCTACATATGTAAGAAACCTCTTTCTCAAAGAGCCAGATGGCTTTCCATATTAAAACTATTACATCATTGAAAAATATTACAGCTAAAAGTATAATCATATTCCAGAATGCAATAAAACTGCTGATATTAAGATTATTAAAAAAAAAAAAGTATGGGCCCAACTGCAGGTTTGCAGCATTAATTATGTAAATCAGATAAACTCAGAAAATAAGTTTTGAATTCACAGTTAAGATAATTATATAATGAATAGGCAGGGCTATGCCATGACTATGACAGTGATTCTTAACATGAAATTCTACTAAATGTTTTCTCACATATGGCTGTAAACACAAATTAGAGTGCTTAAATTCCAGGTAGGCTGTTTCATTTTAGCACACAGAAATATGTGTTAATTTTAGTTCTCCAGTTAATAAATGTATTTATTTCAGTGTATACATCTCCCTCCCATTAAATAATCTGGGGCTTGGACAAGTCAAGTAGCTTGCATGCGATAATCACCACACAGGAAAAATTTGGCTTAGTATGAGCAATATAACTTGATGCTCTAAAACCAGATGAAGTTCAATATATGCAAATTCGAACATTCATTTAACTTTCAGGAAGTATGCAGAACATCTCTTGCAAGTAAGGATAATCAGCTAAATTCTGAAAGCATTTTATCCCTGCATTTGATCATATGGTGAAATCCATTGTAATTACAGCCAGTTCTGTATGGGGATCTCAAAGAACTCCATCGATATGAAAATCATCAATAGCAGACAGAAGTACCATAATGTTTGTGCTTATAACAAGATTTGTCCTATTTTGAGAGTATATCATTAATCCAAATGTACTCATCCTTTGATCTATGAACCATGATTTCCCATACAATCAATTGCAGTTTTATCTTTGACAGTACAGTAATATTTATATTGTTTGTTAAATACTGTAAGTAGAATGATGAAGAAAAACTGAGGTACTGCATGTCCTAATACTTACATGAGCTTGTAATAAGATAATGGAAGTATTGCAATTGCTGATTTAATGAGATAAAGAGACAAGACTTGGTTTCTCTATCTGATTTTTCTACTCACTGAAGCTTAAGATGAAGAGGACAACATTCCTATGAGTTGGTTTCACCAGGTTTACTACATATGCCCATAAAATTATTATAAATTAGTAAGAGTTAGAAGTTATAAGCTTTTGGCTGCAAAACCTCATTTTTTAACATATTTTTACATCCCTTTGATATAAAAAGGCGGTGTTAGAATTATCTTTGACAATTAATAAATGCAATTTTTAAGTTTTATTTATCCTACTGGATAATGAGTAACCAGGTTTAATTCTTACTATACATATTTACTTTGGAGAAAAATGTTCAAAGCACTTACCACTGAAAGATTCTTGTAAATAAACTTATTTTTCCTTTTCAGGATTAATTAAAATGCATAATTTCTGAATGAGAGTGAAAAAATATATCACAAACTCAGTTCTAAAACACAGACCTATTCATGACAGTTCTATAATTTGATTAATGCAAATCTGTCAGGGATAAAAATCAACCACAATTTAATTTCAAACCTTTCCCAACCAGCTGCTGAACAATTTATGCACTACTTTTCTATTTTTACTGCAGGATAATGACAATGATGAATGCTTTTTCTTGGAAATACATATTCATTAAGCAGGCTCAGATCAAAACTATGCCCTTCCAAAAGCCCACGAATGTACAAGATCCATTTGCCTCTTCTAAGACATTTATTTGGGAGGAAGATGGAACTGTGCCCACAGACGCATCTCATAACAATTTCGTAGTTCAGTTAAATTAAACCTATGGCAATACTTACTTGTAACCTCCGTAATCAGTATTATTGAAGTTGTTGTCAACTCCGTTAATACCAAATACATGTGGGTGAACAACAGATTAGTTATGGGTATAAGTCTGATAAAGACTGCACAAATATAAAGCATTAAGAAGTACTAAAAAGAAGTTAACTGCCAGTAAACTGCTTGAGGTGCGTTACTGTTTTTCCATCCAATCTAGTAATGAACAGAAGTTCATAGACAAGGACCAAGTGGTAGCTCATTAGCTGTGATTTACATGGTCTATGACAACTTTTTTTTTTTTTTTTAATGCAGAAGAGTCATTCTATCAAAAAGGATTGTTTAAAATGAAGAATGACAATAACATTGGAGTGTTATGTGCTTCAGTACTCAGAACCACTTTACCCTAGTGGTACTAAATCAGAAGTAGTAAAAGGAACAGCCTACTGTTATTTCACACAATCCTGTTATCTGTTATAGGCTTCCTTTGCTCTATTACTTCACTGTTGTGCTTCAGTACCCATACTATGCTGCCTTGCTAGGAAACTGAAAACACCCTAATTTTTAAGAGCTAATAATATCTATATTTATGTGTGTATATGTATACAGATGCCTAAAATGTATAAGATCTATGCATGTGTAAGAATTTTGGATACGATTGTATAGAAGCTAATAGCAGCATATGGATATGGTTTTGTTACATTTCCTCAGCTGTGGAAAGAGATAAATGAGCTCCTACAGGGGACAATTCAGAACACACATATCCAGAACCCCTGCCCTGATTCTCCCTCTAAGCTTCTTTCTTATGACTGTAGGCAAATTTCAGCCTCTTAACACTAATGTTTTCTTTTGTTAAAACCTTTACTTCCCCAAAATAATCACAGAAAAATGGAAATGTGGTCTGCTCTTCATGCTGGATGACAATTTGAAATTGCTGTAATTATATATAGCACTTAAGCATGATTTTTTACAAGGCTTTCATCACACAAACTTTATTCTGCAAAGGCTGATAACTCATTCATCTACTTAGGCTTACAACTTCAATCTTATTCTCTTATGTCAAATCTGTGTTGAAAAAATTCCACAAATTTCAAAGGATTTCACTGTTGTAAATGATAAAGTAACGAGACGGTAATATTTGAAGTCATGTCAATAATACAGACTTAGCTTTTTCTTAACTACATTACCTACTTACCGGACAAAATTTTCTGTTTAGCTGATTAAACTCTAATAATAGCACAGAGTACAGCCCCAGTCAGACTTCAAGGTTTTTTGGCCTAACATGGAATGGAACAACTACATTTTCCTTCAGTTTGTTGCTGTTTTAATAAAAGTTATTTTTAAATCAAACACTAAAATAAAGCTGCCAAGATTGGGTGTGGGTAAGGTTACTTACTAATTGCTTCAAATTACAAACACTCAAACAAAAATTTAACCACAGATTCACAGCTTTAAATATGTCCTTCTCCATCATTTCTCTCATATTCAAGGATGTGCTTTTAGATATCCTAAGGTTCTTGTCTTCCAAATACAGGTGAAACAGATTAAATTAAATTAACTCTTCGGTGCTCTTATATTTTGCACCAATGTCCCTTCAAATATAAACATCCATATATGCACACATCACAGAGGCGCTGAGCACTTATAAAACAGGTGTCTCAGAGTCAGCGCAGGCTGCCAATATACAGAAACCCAAAAATAACAGGAACCAATTGTTATCAGAAAAGCTTTCTATCTTACCTTAAGACACTCTTCTTGTTTGAAGAGATTCTCACAATCCTTAGCCTGCAGAACAGGAGAATTAAGGCGCTCTTCTACTTCAGACAAGGCTTGCAAAAGGTGAAGAATCTCTGCCAGGTATGTAGAAGGCACATGAGTGGTTTCCACAGTCATAGTTTCAGTCACCACAAAAGTTGTATCTTCATGAACTGTTTGCTAGTACAGATATACAACAGAATTCTTCCTTTAGTTTCTTAGCATCAAACAAACTTACAATTTAATGCAATTTCCAGTTCACAACCTAGGAAAAATTTCTAAAGACAAATGCAGGAAATATTTGAGGTTTGACATAGATGACTCACACTCAGTCTGTTTGAAGTGTCAGGTACCAAAATTAATCCATGCAAAAGTGTATAAACTTTTCTTCTACTGTCCAAAGAAATGAAGATAGAAAATGCAAGAGTACTCTGCTCTTATGGTGTTACTGTTAGTGCTAGCTCTTTCATTTTAAATCATCATACCTTGTTAAGAATCTGTCCTTCATTATATAAATTCCATGCATGCCAGGCCTTGAAATTCATTTCACAGTGTCAAGTAAAATAATGACTTGTGTAATAGGCACAGTTTCTTAAACAACATGCAACGCAAAACAACTACATCAACTCAGCACTTTCAACACTATACTAAAACCTTTATATTTAAGCTAGAAAGTACAATTTGCATTTTTGAGATTTGAAAGGTCCTTAACACATTCATATTTCTAAAGAAAGAAATCCCAGAAACCCACCTCTTCAGGAAATTAAGATCTGAATTTTTTTTTTTCATCTGGACAAATGTGAAATAGACATTCTAGTCTGAAAGTACATGCATACACCAAATGTGAAGAAATCCCAGAATGTTTTGGTTCCAAGAAATAGGTAGTTGATCTATGGCATTTGGAAAGATACTAGCATATAAGGTGAAAAAAATAGTGAATGCTTATATAAATTCTCTACGTTTCTGATTTGATGTGTTTATGGATCATAGATAAAAGTAGTATCAAAAGTGAGCTTTGGAGCAAAGACAACTCTGATTTCTTCTTTTAGCTAAACTCCAAATACATGATCACCTGCATCTCCATCAGCAAAGGCAAAATTTAAAAGATACAAATTAGTTATAAAAAGGTATTATTTATTTATTTTATCACATAGGCTTCTTAGTGTGGGAGGAAGATCCATTGTGCCTGATGTCTATCTTCTCTGAAATATAAAACTTACTTGTTGAAGACCTCAAAGAACTTTTACAAGCAATCACTAGTAAACTATATTTGAAAAATCATACTATTTAGATGCTTCAGACCTAATACAGATAATCACAGATTTTGGAGCCATTTATGCGAAACGCAATGGATCAGTGGTCCTGAAGGAGATAATATCATTAGTTAGGTACACAGTATGTGAAAGAAAACAAGCATAAACACTATCTTATACATAGTACCTTAGCAAGGTGTCTCATTTTAATTTTATTTATTTGCCGTCTGTCCTTTGGTGACATGTTTCTCACCTCATTTACTAGGCTGAGACATCTGGCTCTTCAATTTTCTTTAGACTCTTAACATATGCATATGCACACTCTAGAAGATGTATGCATATCATATGTAAAGCCCATAAAGTTATCTGCAGGCTTATGTTTTTCTGCTGCATTTCTTACACAAATTTAATCGCTTTGCTTACAGTTTTCTCATTAATTACTTTCTCAGTTGATCTGCTAACAGTGAAATCTCTCTAATTACATCACCATTGCTATAGTTTTTATTATTTAAAATAAAACGCTTTAAAAAAATTATGTTTACCCCCAATATATTTCATGAATCATTCACTCTGCAAAAATAACAGTTTACCCAGTAAACCTAAAGAAAAAGCTGTCCTAGTTGATTGCAAAATGGAAGATTCTCAACAGGCCACTGAGGCATGAAGCAATGTATTTTCATTCCTCAAGACTAAACTGTTACGCTTCTACAAGCAAAGAACTTTAGACCCCACATAAGGAACATTCAACTAGAATTGTATTTTTCTTTTTGCCTGAGAAGACAAAATATTTATATTCATATTCATAAAAAGAGCATGTTCAGATGTGCAAGGCTATTCACTCAAAATGAGGTCAAATAGTATGTAAAGTGGCATAAAAATATAATTATTTTCTGTACTCAGTTTAAACTATTTTTTTAAACCCAAATTTAGGCTAAAACTATGTACACAGTACACATAGGTGTACACACATACATGCATATGTGTGTACATAAAATCAAATCTGTGCCTTCTTGCTGTAAAGAATTCCTGACACCAGAAAAAAAGTCAAGCGGAAATCTGATGTGTGAGCACTTCATGGATATAAAGCTTAATTATTTATAGTAGTGCCAAAAATGGGTATCTTTCAATCACTGCTATAAAGAACTCATATAAAAACACTCTTCAAGGCAAAATTAATTAAAATCTGAAGACAGGATTGAACCTTGTATGACATATATGGTTTAGTAGTCCCACAAAATATGTGTACTACTTAACTTTCATTAATCTTAATGAGATGTATACAACCATATATTCATACTGCCCTTTACAGAAGACTTTACATTCATATTTCTCACAGCTGGATGATTATTTGTTTAGTTCTACAGGAAACATGACTCAGAAGATTTCTAGTTCAAGCAAACCATTGTTTATATTGTTAGTTAAACTGTAAAGTACTACAACCAGATAAACAAATAAATAGATTGATATTTGGAAGTATAGTCCTACCAGAACATGCCCTCATATTTGGCAACGTTATTTAGTACATCATTCTAAAAAAAAAGTAACAAGTCCAATTAGTTAGTTTCTGATTAATATTTAAATAAAAAGTTGGAGATTTGATAGAACTTTATAAATCAAGGATTAAATTAATTTTACTTGAGTAGGTTTTTCAGTAGGTCAGAGGTCTTTGTTTCCTTCTATCTTCCCCTCATTGAGAGTAGCATAACAGAACACAAGGCAGAAGTTGGCATCTTACACTAAAGAATGGAGTGTAGTTATGTCCAGCTAGCAATTTTAATCATCAAAGACAGGGAAAAATTATTGGCTTGTCCCCATGTTTGCTGAAATTGCCTTACTGTAGAAGACACAACGGGCAGAGTCCTTCCCTGTATTCTGGACAAGCATCTTTACCATAAATGCATAGCTGAAACTGAACCATATACTAACACGGTAATGAGACAAAACTTTTTTTTAAAAAAAAAGGCACTCGCAGCAGCTGGGCACCACTACTATGAAAAATAATATTAATTCAGTAAAGATATATGTCATTGTTAATGCAAAAATTATTAATCAGAGGCAAGATAGATTAACATAAGGATTAAAAATAAATAAAATGAAAATAGAGGTTTTAGATAATCGTTTTGAATAGTTTTGAATAAGCTGTATCTTACAAAGAGGCAGGATACATTAGATAGTTAATTGAAAATATTCGTAACCAAATAATATTTTAAAATAGTACATAATACAAGTAAACTCTTAAGAATGGTGGGGAAATGCTGGTGTAAAAGGCTATTTCCTATTCTGTTATTTCTGGAAAAAACCAAAACAATTTTTATTGATATTAATTTTTTTATTTTTACTTGATTGTCAGTGATATAATGATGTGTGAAATATTTAGGTTTGAAACAACGTCTTTGGGCTAAGGCTTAACATTTGATGCACTGCTTTTCACTATGCATTATCGTCACAAGAATAGTAATTGAGTGTTCTTCCTCATCATTACATATTTTTAATTAAGGGATAGAATCTTTCCATAAACATGATTCTACCTACATGTGAGAAACTGATTTTGTTGGTAACTACTATATCCTACCAGGTGCAACACAAAGACAAGAAATACATCCATGAACTGGGCCTTACAGAGAAGGACAGTAAGAAAAAAAAATAAAACCAAAAAAACCCACAAAACCCACACCCAAACCAACCAAACAAAAAAATCCCCACCAATAAAAAAAGAGAAATAATGCAGGCTTTTCACACAAAATCAACCATCCCTTGCAAAGAAGTATCCGTGATGATTCTTGCCTACATCTAGAACAGTATTACCTGGTGGCATCAGAGCTAACAGGCCTTGGAGAATGCTGTTTGTTTCCTCTCAGCACAGGAAAACTCAGTGTTAAAGTACATTTCACCCATCTCAGTAGATCTATTTCCTTTCCCCTTTCTGAAGAGGGAAGAATCCTATCACTTTTGCTGTTCAATAGTTTAGACCCAGAAAGCCTCCAACCTTTTTGTGTTATGCATTGATGACTGTCCCATTTTGGGTCCCTTCTCACTGTAGGCTTCCAAATTCATTGTGACCTTAGTGAGCTGTGCTTTTGAGTTAGTAACTTCACACAAAGAGAACACGTGGGACGAGTAAAGCAACAAAACACACTTATCAGCACCACTATCACACACCACTCACACCATGACAGTACTCCTAGCAGCATCCTGATAAAAAGTTCAGGAAAAACAAACATGTTCCTCCTCCTGAAGTGTGCTAATGCTCGAGAAAGCATTCTTTACAAGTAGCTGTAAGATATATGAGAGTGTAAAAAGTCAGTCATCTTTGAGGAATAAGCATAGATGTGCTACACATGCAAGAAAAGAAGCACATCGCAGACACCTTCTGGACAAAGACAGTCATGGCTCAGAGTCCAATAAACTTTGGAAGAGTTTATGGCTTTCTAGAGCAAACTGTAAACTACATGGTATTTGCTAGGCCATGGTTAGCATCAATATATGAAATAAAGAACTAAAAATGCAGAAGTATGAACAAATGCTGTCAAATAGCAATAAAACCGCTTTCAAGTACATATTTACACATAAAGAAGAATTTATTCACTGATTCACGTATCAACTGTGAATGGTGATGTCAGTGAACATAAATTCTGTATCTTCAGTATCGCTATCACATCTTACCTGTAAGTGTGTACATATGCAGAAAATACATCAAAATTAAAGCAATAACGTGGAATTTTCATTATGAGACTGGATGGTATTAGTCAACCATAAACAAGTTATTTATCAATACAAAAACGAAGCATCTCTCTCAAATACAGAGAAACATAATCCTCATTGCAGGATTAAAAGTTCATAAAATACTTATATAACTCCATGAAGGCAAGGCCTTAAAAGGCACTTAGCAGCATTAAGATCTACTTAGAATAATATATTTTAAATAAT